GGAGGTGTAAGAGGAGGGCGTGTTAACCACGTGGACAATGGAGGAGGTGGTGATGATAGTGATGGTGGGCTCCTTGGGCATGGAGGGGCTGAGTTACCAAGTGTAACTCCTAGCACGGGTGAGACGGATTGGCTCACCGCACACCGTCGCTTTGGCCACGTGGCGCTACCTCAGTTGCAGCAGCTGTTCAAGGAGGAAAGAGTCAAGGGGCTGAGGATAAAGGGGGAGCCCAAGGAGGTGGGATCTTGTGAGACTTGCTTGACCAGCAAGTTTTCACGGTTTCCCTTCCATTCGGTGGAGGGGAAGTCGAGTGACCCGGTGGAGCTCGTGCATGTGGATCTCGTGGGACCCATGAAGGTGAAGGGAGATGGTGGGGCCCTCTATTCCATGACCATGGTGGATGACAACACATGGCTCACCTGGTCCTTTCCACTTGCAAAGAAGAGTGATGCTGCAAGGGTCATCATTGAAGAGTGGCTGCCCATGGTGGAGCGAGAGAGCGCCAAGCGGGTGAAGGCGATTCGTAGCGACCGTGGTGGGGAGTTCTTGGGAGCGGAGTTCCGGAGCTGGCTGAAGCGGCACGGCATCAAGCAGCAGCTCACCACGGCCTACACCCCTCAATCCAATGGCATGGCAGAGAGAGCGAACCGGACCATCTTGGAGGGCGGGAGAACGATGTTGGTAGACTCGGGTCTACCGTTACGGTTCTGGCCCCTCGCTATTCGCCATGCCACCGTCATCAAGAACCGAGTATTGACTCATGTGGGAGGGCAGCATTGGGTCCCTATGGAGAAATGGAGAGGCAAGAAGCCTCTGGTGGATATGCTTCGAGTCTTCGGGTGCATGGGACTCGTGCAAAGGAGAAGCGTGACAAGCTTCAAGCGACGGCGGTGTGGGCTGTTCATTTGGGACTTGCACAAGGGAGCAAGGGGTGGCTCATGTGGGACCCAATTGCCAACACCATCTTCACCACCAGAGATGCCAAGTTGGAGGGGCTCATGTTCAAGGAGTGGTTGGAGCGAGGGAGGAGCAAGGTCACCATTCCGCTCGGAATAGAGGTGGGAACGAATGACCCACTCCTCATTCCCATCGAGTTGTCTTCATCTTCAGAGGTAACGGAGGTGTCACATGACTTGGGAGGTGCTGAAGGGGAGGCAGCAGAGGTGGAGGGAGTGTTGCAGCAAGAGAAGGCCCCTGTAGCTGAGAGAGGTGCTGCCGGGGAGGAGGTGCAGCAGCCTACACCATCCCCTTCACTTCCACCAAGGCGGACAACCCAAGGGAAGTGTGGTGCCGTCCGCGGTGGAGCTAAGGAGGGTGCAGCCAAGGAGAGGCCCAAGAGAGCTGCTCACCCAAGGGATTTCCTCAAGTATGAAAGGCTTGGGGGTCCCAAGGCATTGCTGGTCCAGGAGGAGGAAGATGATGAGGAGAAGGGAGCCGAGGGAGAGATGGAGCAGATTTGTTGCTTCGGTGTCAACTTACCTCATGAACCGGCTTCAATGGAGGAAGCACTTGCTGGAGATGATCGAGAGGCTTGGTTGGCTTCAAGGGAGGATGAGTTTCAGAGCCTCATGGAGAATGGAACATGGACCTCACTGATCTGCCCCCGGGAAGAAAGGCATTGGATTGCACGTGGATATTACGTGTGAAGACCGATGCGGAGGGGAAGTTGGAGAGGCGCAAAACAAGACTTGTGATCAAGGGTTTCCAGCAGAGGGAGGGGGGTGACTTTAAGGAGGTGTTTTCTCCTGTTGCCAAGGCTCCTACGCTCCGGGTGTTGCTGGCAGCAGCTGCCGTTTGTGGTTGGAAGGTGGAGCAAATGGATGTAAAGACGGCTTTCCTCTATGGCGTGGTAGATGAGGAGATCTACATGAAGCAGCCAGAGGGGTACGACGATGGGAGCGGACGTGTTTGCAGGCTCAACAAGGCCATCTATGGCCTCAAAGAAGCTCCAAGGTGCTGGTATGCAAGGCTGGTGGAGGCGTTGGAGGCTCTTGGCTTCAAAGTCAGCGGGTGCGACGAGAGTCTCTTCATGACTGAAGGGGAGGAGGAGAAGGTGTTTCTCCTTGTCTACGTCGACGACATTCTCCTCTTCTCTCCATCCCTAGAGAGGATCAAGGAGGTGCAAGGGAAGCTGAAGGAGACCTTTCAATGCAAGGCCCTTGGACCGGTGGGGTATTACCTTGGTCTTCACGTGGAGCGGGACGAGGTGAAGGGATGGTTGAGGCTTCACCAACACAAGTACCTTGCAGCCATGGGGGAGAGGTACGGGCTGGAGGAAGGGAGGAGTGTAAGGACTCCACTACCCTCAGGATTTCAGCTACACCTTGATGAAGAGGAGGGTGAAGTGCTGGAGCCCGAGTTGCAGCGTCGGTTCCAGTCAATGGTGGGGAGCTTGATGTATGCTTCGGTCAACACTCGCCCCGATATTTCATTCGCGGTTTTGCAGCTGGCTCGTGTGGTGTCTAGGCCCCTTCAAGAGCACCTTTATGCAGCAGAGAGGCTGGTGAGGTACTGCATGGCAACCTCAAGGGTGGGGCTGCAATATTCAGTGCATGGGCAGCTGAAGCAAAAGGGAGTGGAGGAGGTGAGCACGAAGACCGGTGCACCTGCAAGGCGTGGACACTTGTACCTCTCGTGCTTCACCGATGCTACCTGGGCAAGTGACACCAGTGATGCAACATCCCATGGTGGCTATGTATGCTGTGCTGGAGGGAGTCCAGTGAGCTGGAAGTCTAAGAAGCAAGGGGAGATAGCTCACTCATCAACGGAGAGCGAGTACATGGCGTTGTTTCATGGGGTGAAGGAGGTGGTTTGGATGAGGAGGTTGCTTGAAGAGTTGGGGCAGGAGAAAGAGGGTCCTACACCTGTGTTTTGTGACAGCCAAGGAGCAATTGCAATGGCTTGCAATGCTGTGCTCCATGGGCTGAACAAGCACATGCATATCAAATGGCATTGGGTGAGGAAGGAGGTGAAGAAGGGCACGGTCTCCTTGCACTACATCAACACTACCAAGCAACCTGCAGATTTTTTGACGAAGCGGCTTGCAGAGCATCAGCATTGGACCTGCGCCACCTTGTGTGGCATGTCCTTCAACTAAGGGAGGCAGCTTCAGGGAGCAGCTAAGGGATGAATGAGAGCACGATGAGGGGGAGTTTGTTGTGCCAACACATTACAGTGGCACGGTCATCGCACTCCCATTCGGCCTACAAGCCTGCTCAGCTTCTGGAATTTTGTGGGGAGTTTGTTCAACATGTGTTTTTCAAACCCTCAAAGTTTCAGAGTTTTTGAAGCAGTTACCAAGGCATGACAACATTTTATGTTTCAAGACTTATGGCATCCCGGAAGTGTGTGTTACTCCTTTTTGGTAACACCCGAGTTCACCATTTCGGCTGCTGACTCGTCTACGGAGCTCTGATTGGTCTGAAATTCGGTCTGGCAGTCCTTTGCCCCGCTGTGCAGGTGGTCACCAAGTTTCAGAACGATCCAACATCTGAGCATTGCGTGACAGCTGCCGAAATTCACTGTTCCGTAGTCATGGTGCACTGTTGGCAGCATTTCCCTTGCCACCCTTTCATTGTTGTCATGCCAATGGTGCAGGGACAGAGAATGAGACAAGAAGTAAAGGTGGTCAAGTGGGACTCTACCACCCTCCATTTGAGAAGTATGGTCTTCCTGGAAGCAGCTTGCAAGAGGGTGCAAGTGGGAAGACAAGCTGACTCATGGTTGGCTTGACTCACAATTGGTTGCCTTGAGTACAGCTCTGAACATCCATGTGTGGTTGGCTTTGCTGACCTAGCTAGGACGTTTCCCATCCTTCTCTGGCCTTTCTCCCCTAGGACTCAACCTTCTCTGAGTTCCCAGGATGATCCCAACCCCTTAAGAGTTCCCTAGGACATGTTGTACTAACCTCTTCCTTGCATCAATGAAACTACACGTTTTTCAGCCGAGCTTTCGTTTTCGTTCACTGCGTAGTGCACACACCTCTGATAATAGCAAATAATATACCGTTGGAAAGCAGACACCTAAGGCTAACCGCTGTTCAAGTTTCAGCCTCGTATGTTTTTGGAGCTGATCGTGACGGCGTTTTGAACAGAGGCGGTTTGAAGACGTCAGATTCTACTTAGGCGGTTTCATGGGCATCCGCGACCTCTAAGTGGACTCTTGACTACAACAGCGGGTGTGGTCCAGCGATTGCGGTAACTGCCAAGTCGGACAACTGCAGCCATTCCCTTTGTTGAATTGGCGAAGACGGCGCTTGACAGCCGGCCAATCGGGCTTCTCCGTTGAGGGGAGGCGAAGGGTAAGTCGCTGGATGAAGAGTAACAGGCGCCAACCAGCGACTGAACCGGGGTTACGCGCGAGGTGGAGTAGTGGTGTCAGGAGGGCTGTGGCGAAAAGTGGGCGAATGTCCGCAGGGAGTTTGTGCGAAAGTGGGGGCTGACGACTGTCGCGTAGGGGAGTCAGATCCCACATTTCAACTTTGCCGAACCGCACTGTGTCTCTGGCCAGTTGCTCAGGCGAAAATTGGCGGGTCTCTAATGCGGTGGTGTCCGGTTCCTGCCGGTTAAGCTCACCCCCCAGGGCGGCTGAGATTGGAGCAGCTTGGCGTGGTGCTGGGCGCGCCCAGCGTCTACCTTCCTGTTCCTCTTCCTCTAACTCCCCCGACTCTTCCGTGGTGGACTCTTCCACCACTGCAGCTATAAACGTAGGATCATCAGCCTCTTCCTCAGCTTCCGTTCGATCAACTCTTCGAGTTAAGGCTCGGCGTGCTTCCCTCTGGAAGCCATTCTCTGGTCTGCCTCCCCTCCAAGTCACTCCTCCTCGTCCGCCGCCTCGTCCGCCCCGCGATGCCGGTATCGATAGGCGACGAGCATTATTCGTATTCGCCGCGGCCCTTTGTCGTGGCGTCAGCTGCAATAGCCCTTCCGACCTTATCGTCCCCGGCGCCGGCGGCTGCGGGTATGTCGCCTCTTCCCGCACCTCGATCTGTGCCGTCATCCATGACTCAGGCTGGCCCTGTCCTTGCGCCTGCTGCGGAGCCAGTTCCCGTCGTGGCGTTGTTTTCTGCGCCTGCCGTGGCACCTGGTCCTGCGCCCGCGTCATCGCCCGCTCCAGTGCTCGCCTCGGCGTCTGCTCCTGCGCCCGCTCCTGGGCCGTCTGCGGCGTCTGATCCTGCGCATACTCCTGCACCCGCGCCGGTAGTTCCACCTGTCCCCGTGGGGGTGTCAGCGCCCGTGCCTGTTGTCGCGGCGTCGTCTGCTGCTGTTGGAGCAGCCTCCGTGCCGCCACCGGTTGCGCCTGCCGTGACGCCTTCTGCTGCTGCTGCGGACCCGACTTACCAGCCACCTCCAGCCACCAGCGCCGGCCTGAGCGCGGCGGAGGTTCAGTCGACTCGCGTGTCGCCTCTAGTTGCTCCTGCCCCTCTGCCTGCGGCGACACCGGCGCCACATCCGTCCGTCCAGGCGGGTCCTGTTCCCGCACCCCTCGCTGCAGCCCCCCCCCTGCTCAACGTCCTCCGTCCCCTGGCCGTCGGCAGCATCGGCCTCATTCCCCTGTGCCACGTGACGAGCGGGAGACACCACGGCGGCGGCACGATTCTCCTCGGCGCCGTGGTTCAGGGGCGAACTGGTCTGCACCCCGTGGCGGCCGAGGAGGCTTGTGGGGAGGGCGTGGTCGCGGTGGCGGCTAGGTGTATGATCAGCCGGTGACAATGGCCGACTTGCAGCGAGTTGTGTCTGACGCGATGCACGAGGAACGGAACACGGCAGGCGAGCCTGAGCAATTCGACGCGCGTCGCTCCTGCGCCGGTGTCCCTTCCTCCAGCTGCGCCCTACACGCCTGCACCTCCTTTTTCACCGTCTGCCGTTCCTCCTCCTCGTGCTCCCGTTGCATCTGTTGCTGCTCCTGGGAACCGTCTGCGGCTGCCGTGGGTTCCTCCTGTGGCGGGCGTGGAGTTCGTGACCGCGGGAGGAGGATCGGTGACGCCGCAGTATCCATCTCTACTGCCCGTGGATCCTGCTCCTCCGGCTGTTGATCTTCCTATACAGTCGCTGGTGGGGCCATCTCCTTCGGTGGATGTGCCTGAGGCGTCTCTGGGGCAGCTTTGGCGCCTCTCTGAAGGCTTGCAGGCCGTTCACCTGATCCAGGTGTATTGTCACGTGGCACTTTCTCGCGGCGTGCCTCTGGTAGGCGGCCCTCTGGACGAGTGCTCGGATGCCGCTGACCGGCTTGCGGAGCTCCTTGCGCTCGTGTTGGCTGCGCCCGCACGGGGTGGAGTTGCGGGCGTTGGACAGCTTGGGAATGAGCTCCGTGGTCTGCGCCAGGTGATGCGCGCAGTGACTGCAGTCGACCTGATCGCCGCCACTGTGATGGTGCGCGAGCTTCATCGCTCTCTGACAGGTATTCTCGCCGTCCTTGACGCGGATCAGATCTGCAGCAACTGAACAATGAGATGAAGAGGCTCAGAGAGGCCTCTTATATAGCTCACAAAGGAGAGGGCAGAGGGCCAAAGGGAGAGGGCAGAGGCTAGGGTCCTCTCTCAAGCAGTCCTTCATTGATATTATAAAGGGTTACAAGCCATACATGATAGACCAACAAAGCCATCCTAGCCTTCCGCCCACAACGCAGTCAGATACCAGTGTGACCTCGAGGCCCGCCTACCAGTGGGAGAGAGCCGCCTACTGCCATGGCCACCCCCTCGGGCCCGCCCCTCACACGTCAAGGGGCGGGCCCCAGTCCAAGTCATCCTCAATGACTTGGCACAGGTCCCCCAGGTGGGGCTCCCACGGGTCAGCCGCCGCCTGGGGGTAGGCACTCTCTTCAGCCCGGTTAGACTTGGCCAGGAAAGTGTTTGCCTGGCTCCTCTGCAGCGCTACCGACCACCGCTGGCGGTAATGCGCCGTAAGTTTGGAGGCTACCGTGGTAAGCCTCCCTTGCCTAAACTTCTTTTTAGCCGCCTGCCTGCCCAAGAGCCGGAGAAACCGTTGGGTGTCGCGTGCCAGGGCCCCGTACGTTTCCACCGCTAGCCCAAACACCCCCACGTAATCCGGCCGGCCCTCATATAATCCCCTCTTCCCTCTCGCTGCGTCCTCCGCCGCCCAACCCGGCGGTTTGACCGCCCTCGTGTCTCGGCGCTGCAGGACCGGGTCGGTCACCGTGACATCCGTCACATACGTCTCGGCGGACTCCCTGTCCTTGATGGCCAGGTCCGCTCGCTTGGGGTTGATAGGTTGCGAGTAGACCGTGGTCTCATACCAGGTCAGGTAGTCCGCCTCTCTGGCCATGCGGAGCGCTGCAAACACAAGGTTGTTGTGCGTGTTTGTCCTCTCCTTCCCCTCCCCGCACCGCAGCAGGTGATTCGGCAAGCTCAGGTCCCCTATCTCCCCCCTCTCCCCATGGCACGGGCAGTTCTCCGTCACCGGCAGCGCCAGTCCCAGGCGGAATCCCAGGGCCAACGCAAACTGGCCCGGCGAGAACGTAAGATCTGCACGCGTAGGGATTGCATGGAGCCAGTCCCCCGCGCCTACCCCCTGCAGGCTAATCAACCGGACCACATGCCCGTTGTCCTCCCCCGGCTTGTCCATCCGCGTGTCACCCACCAGCTCCGCAGCCCGGTTTAGGTTTATGTGGCGCGACAGCTGTTCCTGCAGACCACCCCGTCCCCCCCTGCTGTCTCCCGGCTCCCCTAGCAGTAAGCGTGCTTCCTCTGGGAGTCCGGTCCGCATGTCCCGAATTGCCTCTCCTCCCCTCCCTGCCACCCCGTCCCCAAGTGGTGACACCAGCGCCGCTACCTGCGATAGCTGGTCGTTCGGCGCGGGCGGCATTTGTTGCAGCAGCAGCTGTGCTACCCTTAGCGATGCGAGGTATGCCGCCGGCGCCTCCGACAGCGGGTCTATCAGCCCCACACCGCCCAACGTGATGGGTAGTGTCGCCTGCCTCCACACCAGGCTTTGTTCCAGCTCCTTAGAGGGTACGTTGATGTTGGCCGCCCTTAGTGCCGTCCATAGTAGCCTCTCGCTCCACCCCCTCCATTCTCGGACGGGGAGGACGTCCGCCGGCGTTGTGCGCAGGAGGTAGCTGATCCTGCGCGAGATGCATCGCGACAGGAGCATCACCGCGTGTTGTGGGTGCAGCTTGCTGACTAGGCTAAGCGAGAGGGCTATACGCTCCAGCGATGCTCTCAGCGTGCGTCTGCAATACGCTTCCGTGCCTATCGGGCTCCCGAGGACCTTCACTCCGTCCACCGCTGCCGCCAATCCATCCGGTACGTCTGTCGTGTTTCCCGTGGGGCTCCAAGCTGATGATTTAGCCAGATTGCACCGCAGCCCCAGTCCAGCAAGCCCCTGCAGGATCATAGTAAATGCTCTCGTCGCTGCCGCCGGCTGCCCGATGACCGTAATGTCATCTGCGTATGCCATCACTGTCACGCCCGGGACTGCTACCGCCGCCTCCAGCAGGGTCGGTTGTATGGCCGCCGCGAACAGCATGGGGCCGAGCGGGTCTCCTTGCCTAACGCCACGGGCACTGTCGATGGAGCTGACGGTGAAGCCCTTGTCCAGTAGAAGCTTCGACGGCGCACCATAGAGGGTTCTTGCAAGTGGCAGTAGCGAGCTCAGTCCGGCGGTCCATAGCAGTGTCGTCAGGAAGCTCCCGCGTTCCACCGAGTTGAAAGCGTTTTCTATGTCCAGCTATAGTATTGTTCGCGTCGGGTCCTCTGCCAGTAGCGTACGGGCCGTGTGGATTATGCACTCCGTTCCACCAGGTACGGCCACTCCGTATTGTACTGGTAAGAAATGTGACCGGATTTCCCCGGCCAGTTCCCGCAGTGCCGCCTTTGCCGTCAGTCTGAGGATCGCCTCTCCTTTCGCTATCGGCCTTACACCGCCGTCCGGCTTTTCCAGGGCGATTAACCTTGACGGTAGCAGCAGTTCCCTTATCGGCGCGCTCTGGTATGTGCTTAGTAAGTTATTGACCACTTGGTGCAGCAGGAAGAAGACTTCTCCGTTTGTTAGGGCAGGGTCGCGTAGGTGTTCGAAGCACGTGCCTGATGGGCCTGCGCCTATTCCATTTGGGCACTTTGCCAAGATGTCGCGGAACGAATCTGTGCTAATGGCGAGTGCTGTTTCACCGTAACCCCCCAGCCCTTCAGGTATCGCTATCTCCGCCCGCGGGTGTCTCGCCTGAAGTGTTTCCAGTGCCTGTTGCGACGGCTCTGCCAACGGGGTGGTTTGTAACGCTGCTGCAACCTTCGCCAGGTTGGCCTTCCGGACCAACCCCTCCACTCTCGCGCAGATACCCTCTGCGTCTGGCTCGTGTCTGCTTGGTTGGGAATTGTCCGGGATGGTGCAGGCTTGGAGGTACAGCGAGCTCCAATCCTCATCTCGGAATTGTCGGAGTCTCTTCTCCACCGCGTCGAGGCTGTTTCCCGGCATTTTCTCCGTATTCGCCCTCAGTGTAAGCCGTGGTAGGAATTGCAGCACCCTCCACGCGCCCATGCAGCCCGGGTGTTTCGAGAGACGCAGGAGGGGGATCGTCAGGCAGTGACTGTATGACTTCAGGATTTCCGGAGGAAGCTTCCTGACCAGGACTGGTTGGGAGCTGGCTCGCAGTGGGTCTAGGTCCCAACCCTCGATCACCCGCCATGTGTCATCATCATCCGCAATGTCCTTTGGGGAGCGCTCCTTGCTGGCAGATTCGTTCGACTGCTGAGCCGGTGATTCGCCCACCTGACCCTCCCCATCAAAATTATTTCCCTCTTGTCCTCGGCGTCCGCCACGTCGGCGTGTCCCCACATTGCCAGCTGGGATGCCATCCTCGGCCTCCACAGACACCTCTTCCGATTCGGCCTCTTCTTCCTCCATATATTCCGACTCTTCTTCTCCTGCTGGGTCATTCATTGGTTGTTCACTCTGCTCCTCTGGCCTCCCGTGCCTTTCCCGCCAGTTTCCGGATCTGGCTTTTTCCCGTGCCACTGCTCTCGCTAGCTCGCCCACCCGTCCTCCTCCGCCCCGGCCCCTGCCGTGCCCTCTCATGGCCGCGTTTCCCGCCGCGTTTCGCGGCTGTTGACCTCTCGCCCTTTCTTCCGCCCGCTCTCGTAGGACCCTCTGTCTGCTGGTTTCGTTATTCTGCCTTCGCCACGCCGTTGTCAGGGTAGCCGCCTCCTCTTCTTCCTGGTTCTGCTCAAGCTGGTCTGCTGTCAAGGCTTCCCCTTCCTCGGTTACCTGCCTTTGCCGTCGCGCATCGGGCTGACCTCCGTGTTGCCTTTCCTGTTCTGGATCCCGCTGTGCTTGCAGGTCCCGCGGCAATGACGGGCAAACGTCGCCGTCCCTCGCATCCGGTCCGCGAAGTGGGCTATGCCGCTCCCAGCCCGTCGAGGGCCCAGGAAGGGCTGGCGTCAGTCCTGCTCCGAGCCGCCGCTGCGCTGGTCGAGCACGAGGGGGCCGGGACGCCCGCCCGGCGCCGTGAGCCGATCTATCATTCTCCACGCGGGCGGACTCATCCTCACCTCCGGGCCCGCGGTGGTTCGTTCCGTCGCCGCCGTCCGCCTCGCCCTGCCCCCGCCGTCCAGAGGGAGATTGTGGGCCCCCTGCTACAACCGCCGCCGTCCCCCTTGCGCCTTGGTGCTCCGTCCGTGCTGTCGCCGGCTGTGTCGCTGCCGTCGTCGCAGCAGCTGTCATCAGGCGTCGCTGCGCCTCCTCCCCTGCCGTCGCCAGCTCCCCCTGCGGTGTCGGCACCGCTCCCCTCCGCCTCTCCTCCTCCCGTCGAGCCTCCGCAGCGGCAGCATCCCCTGGTTCCGTCTGGGCCTGTCCCTGAAGCTCGCTTTCCTCCTCCTCGCGCCCGATCTCCTGAGCTTCCTCCCGATGCTCCTGACCCCGAGGACGACGAGCGGTGGTGGAATGGGGAGCTGTGGGAGTCCCCTCCTCAGCCTGCGACTCTGTGGGGCCGAGAGTGGGACATCCAGTCCGACGTTGTGAAGGACATCCTTCGTTGGGAGAAGCGGATGGTGGCGGTTGGGGAGTGCATATCGCATGTGGCGACCGTTCTCGAGCAGCTGCACGCCGGCTTGGTGGCGCGGAACCTCGTTCTCCGTGATCCTCAGTTGACAGAGCCCCAGCAGGGTGTTGTCCGGGAGGCGGCGGCGCAGGGTCTCTGGCGCCTCCTCCGTTTGCCTCTGGAGCCCGAGTTCCCCGAGCAGGACGAGGGCCCTGGCGCGCGGGATTTCCGGCGGGTAGCCAAGGCTGCGGAGGAGTCTCCCCTCGAGCTCGTGCCTGCGCTCGCTGTTCTCTTGCGCTGGATTCGCCGGCGGATTACGTGCTGAACCGCGTGTAGCGCCCTGCCCCTTCTTGGCAACGTTGGTTGCCTTCTTGTTCCCCATGTTTGACTCTCCTACTTACCTAGCCCCTGTTTTGTGGGCCCTTTCTAGTGCCACATCTTGTATCTTTCTCCTTAAGTGTTGTTGTAACTTGCCGTCCCCTCGCGCGCGGCCGAAGGCCGCGCTGTCGAGCGCCGGCCGCCGAAGGCGGCCGGTGCGAGCCGCCGGATTCGCAGTGAGAATGGGCTCACCACCGAACAATGAGACTGAAAGTGGGCTCCTTGCCCTTATATACCTGGGCACTAAACTAAAACAGGTAGTGAGTAGGCTACACTAAGGGTCTAGTCTACACTAAGGGACTAAGTTGAAGTAACTAAGGACTAAGTGACCAAGGGTCTCTCTCTCTCTCTCTCTCGCTCTGATGGTCCGTATATTGATAGGCCAGAAGGGTACACACATGCAATGAGCGACAGCAGGGTGCTTAACATGCAAGGTAGCCTAGACTATCCAACCCCTCTAAGTCACCTAGAGCTCAAGGAGAGGCTCTAGGACAGTGAAACAGTCCCCCAAGTATAATTCTTGCCCTATCCCCCCTACAGGCGGGTTCTCTGCAGCAGCCGCATCTCCTAATTTGATCATGAGACCCACAGATTGGGCCCTCTGCAGTGCAACCGACCACCTCTGCCTGAACTGGTGCAGGAACTTAGCGGCATGAAAGGATTTGGAGTCGGCGTTGAAGTATCGCCGAGCCGCCGTGTCTGCAAGGAGTTTCAGGAACACAGGGACCTCAGCACAAGGGCAGCCGTAGGTCTCTACTGCGAGGGGGAAGAAGCCCACTGTCTCGGGCAGGTTTTCATAGTGCTTGATCTTCTTGTCTGCCTGCTCCCGGGCTGCCCAGCCCCTGCCTTTACGCGCTTCCGGGTCCCTGGTACTAATAGGGTCTGTGACCGTCACATCACACACCCAAACTGCCCCACTGCTTCTGTCCGTCATGGTAAAGTCTGCTGTCTGCTCCTCTATGGGGCTGTAGACGTTGGTTTCCCTGTGTACTATGAACCCCGCGTCTTGCGCCATGCTGATGCATGCGTCGCGAAGTTCGTTATGAGTATTCGTACGGTGCTTCCCCGTGCCGCAGCGGAAGAGGTGGTTGGGGAGGCGCGGGTCTGTGATAGTGGTGTGGTCTGCACAATCACAATTCTTCGGAGTAGAGAAAGGGAGGACCAACCAGAAGCGCACGGCGTTGCTGAAGTGTACCGGGCCTATGCGTCTTGAAGAAGCTACCGGTACTGCCGTCAGCCAGTCCCCTGTGCCGTAGCCTGTGAGTGAGAACATTCTCTGTGTGTGCCCGGAGAGAGGATTCAGTCTCATTCGCCTCGTCTCCTGGACCTGTACCGCGTACCTACTCCCCTGTACTTTGAGGGCCAGCGTGTGCTGGAGCTTGATGTCCGACCGAGAGAGCCGCTCCTGATCAACTACGTCGTGTGCGTCTGAGGGCAGTGCTGTCTCGCACTCTGTGAGCCAGGAATGAAGCAGTGTGGTGACGTCCCGGGGCAGAATCATGTGGCTGTGTTCTCGGGTCAGGGCGGTGTCTGGTGCTAGCGTCAGGGAGGAAAAGAAGAGCGCGGCCTGTGTGAAGCTGGCTACGAAGCCGTAGACGCCTTCTACAAGTGGGTCCGTGATTCCTAGCCCGCCCAGAGATGATGGGAGCGAGGCCTGCGCCCACACTCTCGTCTGCTCCGTGCTACAGGTAGGGACTCTAATCCCGCATGATGTCAGGAGCGCGGCTAGGAGGTCTCTCCCCCACTGTGCCCAGGTGTCTCGTGGAAGAAGGTTCAGCGGTGTGGTCCTAGTGAGGTATGCTACACGTCTGGAAATGCAGCGGGTCAGGAGCAGGGAGGCGACTTGGGGGTCGGCCCGTTCCAAGAGCGGCAGCGGCTTCGCCATTTCGTCTAGCTGCCCCGCAAGGAATGTGGCAGCGCCGGCCGCTGGCCCCAGGAAGCTGCCTAGAAGGCGTATTCCGTCCTTTGAAAGCGGGACCCCTGGTGGCAGCTGCGTGGACTCGTCGCCGTTTGTGCTCCATGCGGCACATTTCTGCGGGTTGTGTCTTAGCCCCAGTTGCGCTAGCTTGCTGGTGAAGAAATTGAATGCTGCTACAGTGTCCGTGTCATCCCCCAAAAATGTCACGTCGTCTGCATACGCCAAGCAGAGTACATGGGGGTGTGCTTCGGCAGTTTCGCGAAGGGCTGGGTGTATCCCTGCTGCGAACAGTAGAGGGCCGAGTGGGTCCCCCTGCCTCACGCCACGTTCACTGTTTAGCGGGTGGCTGGCGAAGTTCGAGTCGAGGTACAGCTTCGACGGGTAACCGTACGTTAGCCGGACCAGTGGGAGCAGTGACGAAAGGCTGTTGTCGCGTAACCCGTCGATGATTGCCTGTCGCGAAATGCTGTTAAAGGCATTTGAAATGTCGGTCTGTAACACCACGCAGCTGTCTCTCGAGTCAACGAAGGCACGTGCGACATGGATGTTTGCCTCGGCTCCCCCTGGCACCGCCACCCCGTACTGTAGTGGCAAGAAGTGGTCACGTGCAGCCTCCCCAATTGCGGTCAGAGCTGCTTTGGCCGCGAGGCGCGTCAGGCATTCGCCAATTGCAATTGGCCGAACCCCCCCACCTGGCTTAGACAGCGCGATTAGGCGTGACGCTGTCAGCAGGTCTGCCACTGGCTCGGGTAATTTTCCTACCAGGATGGTGTTGACTAGGGCATGCAGATGGGTGCGGACCGATGCGTTGGTTGCAGATGCATCGCACAGGTGTTCGAATGCGGTTCCGGTCGGTCCAGTCCCCACCCCATTTTCGCACCGACCCAGAAGTTTTGCGAAATCGGCCTGGCTGATTTGCAGGTTCGGGCCAGGTGTTGTTGGCCAGCTCAGCTGCTCGTCCGCGGCTCGCGGGTGTTTCGCGCGAAGTTCCTCCAGGATTGCTGGGCCCGGCGTGCAGACCGGGGTTGACTCGAGGGCCAGCACGGCTTGGCGTAGACTTCCACGCTTGGCCAGGCCCTCCGCCCTGCTGAGTACTCCCGCCTCGTCAGGCTGGTGACGTGGAGGCGGTGGGGTGTTGATGGCTTCGATTGCGTCAGAATACAGCCGCCCCCATTCGCCACGCTGGAAAGCTCTGAGACGGGCTTTGACTTCGGGCCACTTCGGTCTTCTTGGCGACGTTCGGCGAAGTGTGAGCCGAGGGAGCAACAGCAGTAGTCGCCACCCTGCGACCGAATCCGGGTTTCGCGCGAGGTGAAGGAGCGGGGTGAGTAACACCAGTGAAAACAGCTGACACAAATTGGGCGGTAATCGGCGCGACAGGGATGGCTGACGACTGTCGCATAGGGCCGCCAAGTCCCAATCAGCGATGGCTGCGAACAGTTCTGTTCGCTTTGCCAATTCCTCTGGCAAGAAGTAGCTGGGGCAATGTGTTTGATTTGCTGTCGCGCTGCCATTACGCGCGGCTTGATTCCTCTGCACGCGCCTCGGTACATCGCCCTGTCCGTGGGTTGGAATCGTAGCCGTCCGATTCACTTGCTGCGCTCCTCCTGCTTCGCCCGTCTCATGCTCAACAGCTTGCCTCCCAGGCCGTGGCCTCCCAGCCGCATCCATTTCTTCCTCGTCATCCTCACTTAATGGGAGCGGCTCCTCCCTATAAGTAGGGTCCCCTTGATCCTCCTCCTCATTAGCCCTTTCTAGAGCTGTTAAAGCCCGTCTCCTCGCCGCTTAGAAGCCATTCTCCGGTCCACCTCCTTCACCGCTAGCTGTCACTCTCCCTCTGCCTCGTCCTCCTCGGCCCCTCGATGGTGATTGCTGGGCCGACCGATTATTCGCCAATGCGCGTTGGCGCTGCGTCGGTTGCGTACGAAAGGCCACCGCCTGCCTTCGGAACGGGGACCATGGCGACGGGCCCCCCAACGCTTCCGGCTCCGATGCCCGTGACAGAAGACGCTGAAAACCTTCCTCGCCCCGCACCGACGGTTCCCGAGGCGCCGACGTCTCAGCCTGGCGACAGTGGTCGCCAGGCTCCTGTGCTCTCGGCGCATCCTCCTGTCGCGCCGTCTGTCCCTCTCCCTGCGCCAACTGCTGCGTCTGCTCCGCTTGGCGCTCTTCAAGCTGCCGACCCCGCCGCTCCGTCTGCGGCCGCCGAGCGGGCGATTGTTGGTGGCAGCGTGCCGGCCCAGTCGGAGGGGTCCGCCACCACTGACGTCCAGGGCCAGCCGGCGCTTCCCGCCTCTCCGGCTCCCCCGTCTGCACCGCCTCCGACGCTGGCGCCTCCTCCGCCTGTGCAGGCGGGATCTGCTCCTGCACTGCCTGTCGCTGTACCTCCCGCGCCTCCTGTGGTTGCGCCTCCTGCACCGCCTGTGGGCGCTCCTCTCGCGCCGGCTGAAGTTGCTCCCGTTGCTCCGCCTGTTGTTGCACCGCCAGCTCCGCACGTGGCGGGTCCGTCTGCACCGCCCGTGGCCGCTCCCGTTGCACCGCCGGTGGCAAATCCCTCTGTGCCGCCCGCTCAGCGTCCGCAGTCTCCTGGCCGTCGTCAGCAGCGGCCCCAATCCCCCGCGCGGCAGGACGAGCACGAGACGTCCCGGCGCCGCCATAATTCCCCGCGTCGCCGCGGTTCCCAGGCGAACTGGGCAGCGCAACGCGGTGGCCGAGGCGGCTGGTGGGGGCCGCGTCAGCGGGGTGGCGGCTGGGGGTAAGATCAGCCGGTGACGATGGCTGACCTGCAGCGCGCGGTATCTGCTGCTGTGCGTGAGGAGCGGAACGGGCAGGCGAGGCAGAGCAATTCCCCGCGTGTTGCTCAGACCCCTGTGGCACCTCCTCCAACTGCACATCCTGCCCAGGCTACCCCTCGTCCTCCTGCGATTGTTCCTCCCCCTCATGTTCCCTTGACCGCGGCTGGTGGGCCCGTGACTGCGCAATATCCGTCCCTGCTGCCTGTTGATCCCCCTCCCCCGTCCGCAGGTGCGGCGCACTCGTTCTCGGCCCTGCTGGGGCCTCAGTGCCCGGTCGCGGTTCCGGAGGTGACCCTTGGTCAGATCTGGCGCCTCTTGGAGGCTCTGCGGGTCGTGCATCTGGTGCAGGTGTATGTCATGCCGCCTTGTCCCAGGGCGACTCATTGGTGGGCGGACCTCGGGACGATTGTTTCGCGGCGGCTGATCGCCTCGCCGAGCTGCTAGCGCCTGTGTTGGCTGCACCCGCGCTGGGTGGGCTTGCGGGGGTCGGGCCCCTTGGTTCGGCCGTCCGTGGGCTGCGGCGGTTGTTGCATGCAGGGACTGGATCCGGGGCGATCGCCGCAGGCACGGTGTTGGTGCGTGAGCTGCATCGCACGCTGTCGGGGCTACTTGCAGTGTTTGACGCGGATCAGATGTAGCGTCCGCGTGCCCCGGGAGCTGACTGCCTAAGGATGCGGGCTCCTCTTGCTCCATGCTTCACCTAGGCTAGTGTGGTGTGTTCCATGCTTGTATGCATGCCTATAGTTGCTTGTCTTGCGTTTTTCCTTGCCGCCCCTCACGCGCGGCCGAAGGCCGCGCTGTCGAGCGTCGGCCGCCGAAGGCGGCCGGCGCGAGCCGCTGGGTTAGAAGGAATGAACCCGCAGCTGAATAATGAGGAACAAACCTGGCCCAGAGGCCTTATAAACTAGGGGTGTGGCGGGCTGAGAGGCTGAGAGGCTACGGGGCTAAGCTATGCCTCTCTCTCTCTCTCTCTCTCTCTCTCTCTCTCTCTCTCTCTCTCTCTCTCTCTCTCTCTCTCTCTCTCTCTCTCTAATGGTCCTTGTATTGATATAGTCGGCAAGTACAAGCATGCAAGTCATAGAGTCGTAGGTAACACACATGCTAAGCACAAGCACCACAGATCTACAATTCCACTAGGGGCTCAATGACTGCGAAGCAGTCCCCAAGGTGCAATTCGTCCCCAATTCCCCCCACAGGCGGGTTCTCTACTGCCGCAGCCTCTCCAAGCTTGAGCAGGAGGCCCACAGATTGGGCCCTTTGCAGGGCCACCGACCAGCGTTGCCTGAACTGGTGCAGGAACTTTGCAGCATAGAACGATTTGGAGTCGGCGTTGAAGTGGCGCCGAGCTGCAGTGTCCGCCAAGAGCCTCAGGAAGACTGGCACCTCCGCGCAGGGGCAGCCGTAGGTGTCCACCGCAAGTGGGAAGAACTTCACCGTCTCTGGCAGGGTGGCGTAGTGCTGGATCTTCTTGTCCGCTTGCTCCCGTGCCGCCCAGCCCCTGCCTTTCTGCGCCTCTGGATCCCTAGTGCTAATAGGGTCGGTAATGGTGACGTCGCATACGTAGACGGCCCCACTACTTCTGTCCATCATTGTAAAATCAGCCGTCTGTTCCTCAATGGAGCAGTGCGCCGACGACTCGCCGTGGACAATGAACCCCGCGTCTTGGGCCATGCTAATGCAGGCATCGCGCAGCTCGTTATGGGTGTTGATGCGATGCTTGCCCGTGCCGCAGCGGAGTAGGTGGTTAGGGAGGCGGGGGTCCGTGATGGCGATGTGGTCAGCGCAGTCACACTTCTTTGGTGTGGAGAAGGGGAGGGCCAGCCGGAAAAGCACGGCATTAGAGAAGTGAGTGGGCCCTATCCTCCTGTTGGCCGCAATGGGGATAGCGGTCAGCCAATCCCCGGTCCCGTAACCGGTCAGTGAGTACATCCGCTGCGTGTGTCCGCACAGGGGGTTCAGCGCCATCCGTCGTGTCTCCTTGACCTGTGCGGCATATCTGCTCCCATGTACCCTCAGTGCCAATGCGTGCTGGAGCCTGATGTCTGATCGCTCCAGCCGCTCTTTCTCCAGGATCTCCCGTGCGTCTTCCGGTAAAGCCGCTTCGCACTCCGATAGCCATGCGTGGAGAGGCGTGGCGACGTCTGCAGGCAGCAGCATGTGGTCCCGAGCCTGCGTCAACGCGCCATCAGGGGCGCCGTCTAGTGATGCCAGGAAAAGCGCGGCCTGTGTGAAGCTCGCTGCGTACCCGTATGCTCCCTCGATTAGGGGGTCGGTAATGCCTATCCCTCCCAAGGACGGCGGCAGTGAGGCTTGCGCCCAGATACGTGCTTGCTCAATGCGGCAGGTGGGGACGCGGATGCCGCATGCTGTGAGTAGTGCTGCAAGCAGATCGGTGCCCCACTGACTCCAGGTGTCGTGAGGCAGAAGGTGAAGCGGTGTCGTTCTGGTGAGGTATGCCGCCCGCCTCGAGATACAGCGGGTGAGCAATAACGATGCTACCTGGGGGTCGGCTTTCTCAAGGAGTGGCAAGGGATTTGCCATTTCCCGTAGCTGACCCGACAGGAACTGTGACGCCCCGCTGTCAGGGCCCACGAAGCTTCCCAGCAAGCGCACGCCGTCGTGGGAAAAAGGAACTCCCTGTGGCAGCTGATCCTTCACTGCTGCGTCCCTGCTCCAGGTTGCGCATTTCTGCGCGTTGTGTCTTAGCCCCAGGTGCGCCAACCTCTCAGTGAAGTGATTAAATGCGGCTAAAGTGTCCGCCGCCTTCCCCAGGAATGTGACATCGTCGGCGTAAGCCAGACAAAGCACGTGGGGATATGCCTCAGCGGTGTCGCGAAGTGCTGGGTGTATTCCCGCCGCAAACAGTAAAGGGCCAAGTGGGTCCCCTTGACGCACTCCCCGTTCGCTGGTCAGCGGGTCACATTCGAAATTTGCGTCGAGGTGCAACTTGGACGGGTTACCATAGGTCAGTTTCACCAGCGGCACTAGTGGCGATAGCCCGGGTTCGTGTAACGCCGTCGCGATAGCTTGTCGGGATATGCTGTTGAATGCATTTGAGATGTCGGTCTGCAGCACCAGGCTGTTGGGTAGCTTGTCCAGATACGCCCGTGCCACGTGGATAACTGCCTCGGCTCCTCCTGGCACAGCCACTCCATATTGTAGAGGCAGGAAATAGTCACGTGCAGCATCGCCCGTGGCTGCGAGGGCTGCCTTGGCTGTCAGCCGAGTGATGCACTCGCCAATCGCGATTGGTCGAGCCCCCCCACCAGGTTTGGCCAGGGCTATGAGTCGCGAGGCTGTCAGTAGGTCTGCCACCGGTGCTGGTAGGTTGCCCCCCAAAATGGTGTTTATCAATGCGTGCAGATGGGTGCTGACTCGCCCGTTCGTGATTGCCGCGTCGCGCATGTGCTCGAAAGTTGTTCCCGAAGGTCCGGCACCGACCCCGTTCTCGCACCTCCCCAGCAGTTTGGTGAAGTCAACGTGGGTGATGGTTAATTTTGGCTCGGGCGTGGGTGGCCACGTCGTTTGTCCTGTTTCGGCTGGCGGATGTTTCAGTCGGAGCTCCTCCAGAATTTCTGGAGTTGGTTTGCAGACTGGCGTTGACTCTAACGCCAACACGGCTCGGCGCAGGCTACCACGTTTCGCCAGGCCCTCGGCTCGGCTGATGACCCCGGTAGCATCGGGCTGATGACGTGGTGGCGCGGGTGAGTTGACTGCTTCAATCGCGTCCTTGTACAGTTGGTCCCACTCGCCACGCTGGAAGGCTCGGAGCCGGGCCTTGATCTGGGGCCAGTTCGGTTTCCGTGGCGAGTTTTGGCGAAGCGTCAGACGTGGCAGAAAGAGGAGAAGGCGCCAACCTGCCTCTGATTCCGGGTTTCGTGACAGGTGGAGTAACGGGGTCAGTAGCGTCAGCGAAAACAACTGGCACAAGTTTGGCGGTAACCGCCGTGCCAGAGATGGCTGCCGACTGTCGCAGAGGGCAGGGATATCCCAGTTCGCGATGTCCGCGAACCCGCTTGCCCACATCGCCAGCTCCTCTGGCGTGAAATAGCGAGGGAGATTGGGATTTTCTCGCACCGCCGTCGTGTCTGTCGCGGCCCGATGTCGCCTGGTGCGGCCCGTCCTCGCTTGTGATGGTGGGGTGGGTATTTCGCCCGTACGATCGGCATCGGACGGTCCACCAGCGGTGTCCCTTTGCTCGCCAAGGGACTGCCTTGGTCTTGCTCCTGTCCTCCTCCCGTTCTCCCTTACTCCTTCCTCTCCTTCCGTCCCTTCATCTTCGCTCGAGGGCATGGGCTCCTCCCTATAAGAGGGGTCCGTTCCCCCTTCGTCGTTATCTAGCCTGTTTAAAGCCCTTCGTGCCTCCGACTGATAGCCGTTCTCCGGCCCTCCTCCTTGTCCGCTAGCTGCTTCACGCCCTCCGCCTCGCGCTCCTCCGTCTCGCGATGATGATTGCTGGTGTGAACGATTACTCGCCAATGCGCGCTGGCGCTGCGTCGGTTGTGTTCGAAAAGCCGTCGTCTGCCTCCGGAGCGGGGACCATGGCGACGGGGTCCCCGCCGCCGTCTGCTCCGAAGCCCGCGACAGTAGACGCTGAAAAGACTCCTCCCCTCGTATCCGCGGGTTCCCACGGTGGGAACGAGGCTGTGCCGTCTGCGCCGGCTGTTGCTCCTCCCGCTCCGACTGTCGCTCCTGTTCCCCCTGCTCCCGTTGTGGCGCCGACGACGGCTGCTCCTGCTGGGGAAGCTGTTGTTCCCCCTGTCCCTGTCCCTGGCGCTCCTGGTGCACCTGTCGTTTCTGTCCCCGGCGAGCTTGCGCCGGCGTCTGCTTCTTCCCCGAAGGCGGCGTCCGCCACCACTGTCGGCCCGGCCCCGATGGTTGCGCCTCCCGGCGCGAACCTGATGGCTCCCGCTCTGCCGCCAGCAGTCCCTGTTGGTGAGCCGTCTCGTCCCCCGTCGCCTGACCGCCGTCTCTCCCGGCCCCATTCTCCAGCGCCCCAACAAGAGCGCGAGACGTCGCGGCGCCGGCGCAACTCCCCCCGGCACTACCAGCAGCAGGCCCAGTGGCCCGCTCACCCGGGTGGCAATGGGGGCTGGAGGGGTCCCCACGGGCGTGGTGGCGGCGGGAGGTATCGTCCGCCCGTGACAATGGCGGATCTTCAGCGGGAGGTGTCCCGGGCCGTGCGCGAGGAGAGGGCGGCGCAGAGCCAGAGCAGTTCGCTGCGGGCTGCGCCGGCGCACGTGGCTCCTCGCCCGACTGTGCCTCCTGTGGTCCCTCCGCCGGCTACTGCACTTCCTCCGCCTGTCCTCGCCCCGTCAGCTCCCTTTCCTTCTGTAGCGGCGCCAGCTCCCGGCTCTCGTCTGCATCTGCCGCCGGTTCCGCCTGTTGCGGGGGTGGAGTTTGTGGCCGCGGGTGGTGGCGCGGCAGCGGCTCAGTATGCAGCTGATGAGCCGCTCCAGTTTCTGGCGGAGGCGCTTCAGCCTCCGCAGACGCGTGTTCCCGAGTCGACTCTCGGTCAGCTCCACCGCCTCGCAGAGAGTCTCCACGCGTTGCTGCTGATACAAGTCCTTGCTCACTCCTCACTCCCTGTGATCCCTCCTGAGACGTTCCGGGACCGTCCGCACGAGACCTGCCTGGA